CCCCCCCCCCCCCCCCATCTTGGTAAAAGTTCTGTCTTCTTTGTCCTAGGTCAAACTATTCTGCATCAGCTGTGTGAGTCACTGACTGTTTTGAAGATCCCTTAGTGTTTGGCTGTAGGAGCCATTAGTCAATTCTCAGTACTGTGTTTGAGTCTACATCTCAGGTGGCTTATTTGAGTCTCTTTTCTTTCAGTGATCTCTCTCAGGGTTGTTTATTGTGAGCAGGGACAGATCAGTTTAGATTTTTTTGGGGGGGGTATCTTCTAGCTATCCCTGTATACCTACAATTTTACTAAACAGTTCTTTTTTTTTCATAATGGTGTGCCTTGGTGGGTCATTTATCACTCGGTGTCCTGGCCTTTTAATTTTTATTCTTTTGGTTGCGCCACATGACTTGTGAGATCTTAGTTCCCCACCAGGGATTGAACCCAGGCCCCTGGCAGTGAGAGCTCCAAGTCCAAACCACTGAACCATTAGGGAATTCCCACTAAACAATTCTTCTATTACATCTTTTTTTTTTTTTTTTTTTTTTTTTTTTTTTTTTTGCGGTATGCAGGCCTCTCACTGTTGTGGCCTCTCCCATTGCGGAGCACAGACTCCGGACGCGCAGGCTCAGCGGCCATGGCTCACGGGCCCAGCCGCTCTGCGGCATGTGGGATCTTCCTGGACCGGGGCATGAACCCGTGTCCCCTGCATAGGCAGGCAGACTCTCAACCACTGCGCCGCCAGGAAAGCCCTCTTTTATTACATCTTTAACCAGACCAAATCACCCCAAGTGTCACCTGCTCCTTTCCTTTATCAGAGATCTCAGAGGGTTTGTGTTACAGTAATAGAAACTGACAGTGACTGTGTACTGTATGTGTGCTGTGTATATTACTTAAATATAAAATATAGGAGCTTGATATAGTTATCTCCTTATGGTTGAGGAAACAAGCTCAGAGAGTTTAAGTGACTTGCCTATGACCACATACTTAATGCTTATTGGAATCCTAGCTCAGATCTCTCTGAGACCAAATCTCATGGTCTTTCTTAGGGTATTGGACTTCTGCTGGGGATACCAGGAGACCTTGTGAGATCTTCATATTTGTGTCTATTTGGAGTTAGTTAGTTATTGTTATCTCTCTGGTCGAGATGTTTACCCAGAGACTCCTTCATACTGTAGTAAGGTAACTTACAGTTGTTGACTCTGTATAATTTGGAGTATCTCTGGTAGAAGAGTGTTCTGGAGAGAAGGCTGAGGTAAGTGAGATACTCTCTCCTTTCCTTTTTCCTCTTCAATCCCTTGTGAGAAGGCCTTTGAAAATTACTGTAAGATCTTTTATGTGGGAGTGCCTTGGCCTCTTTGATTGTAACATTGCATTAAAAATATTTCATTTATGAAAAAGTCTTTTGGGACCCCAAAACATCCCTGGACTGCATTTTCTTTCATACTGAATTCTGTGCCCTAGAGACAGGCACTACCTATTCCTCTTCCAGTTTAAGAACAATTAGTCACTATTTTATTACTTTTTATTTGAGAAATTAAAATAATCTAATAGTATTAGCTTATTCTTATAAGAAGGAATTTCTTTCTAATGTTTTGTCATTTTTGTTTCTAATCTTATTTAAAAAGAAATAAAACACTGTGGCTTTTATTTTATTTTTTATAAATTAAAAAAAAAGTTTATTTATTTATTTAGGCTGTGTCGGGTCTTAGTTGTGGCACGTGGGGTCTTCATTGTGGCACATAGAATCCTTTTGTTGTGGCATGCAGACTCTTAGTTGTGCCATGTGAACTCTTAGTTGTGCCATGCATGCGGGATCTAGTTCCCTGACTAGGGATTGAACCTGGGCCCCCTGTATTGGGAGCATGGAGTCTTACCCACTGGACCCCCAGGGAAGTCCCCAAACACTGTGGCTTTTAAAAATACAAGTATTTACATGTTTTTTAAAGAATAATCTTAAAAATACAGATAAGTCAAAAAACAAAAGAAAAATCACCCCTAGTCTCAGGACTCATATAAATAACTGCTCTTATATTGTTTACTATTTTAACAGACTTCAGCCCATGTAACCTGTAAGCCACAGACGTCTTGGACAGTTTTAATCATTAATAACGAAGTATATCATTAAGTAACAGTGGGGTATTTTGAAAGAGTTGGAAGACTCATCATGAGTTTGAACACTTCAAATAATGCCCCTGGTGATATCCAAAGGTAAGCCTCCAGTCTCTTCTAGTTGAGGAACGCTTTTGGTTGCAGGGAGCAGGGAGAAATAAGTGGTTGGAGAGGCTGATTGTAAGAATTCTCACGGGATGGTAAGGGAAGTGGAAATTTCATGGGACTGGAGGAGCAGGAATGATGGCCCATAG